AATTTGTGGTTGTCTGGGAGAGAAAGCAGAGAGAAAGGCAGTTAAGTGGATAAAAACAGGCACAACAGAAGCCAAATGGCTGGAGAAAGAGCGGAAGCTGCAGAGGCTTGTTAAAGCCCAGAGGATACTTTCTCTGCGAGAGCACCCCTGTGCCTTTGCAAACCACTGTGGCATCACTTTGCTCTGCTCCAGGACTCTGTAGGGAGTGACAATGCTAATACCAGAATTGCTGTCTCTTTCTATGATTTTGTATGTGGACAGACTCACAGCTGTAATTCCTCAAAACCATGGCTTCAGGGATGAGGAAGAACATTGGTATAGGTAGTTGCATGAGCTTCCATCCACACAAATAGATGGGAGACCCCAGTGGAAGCAAGCACCATTTCTGGATAGGCGAGGAAGGATGTGTCCCTGTGCCTGTGCCCAGGTGAAAAGGGGTTCCTCACCATGGCATGGGATATGTAATTTCTCTGCATCTCTTTTACTACCTTTCTTTCCTTTGTTCTTCATGTCTTCTTCTGCAGAAGAAAAATGGTACTCAGACCATTTCAGGGCAAAAACAAATTTACTGCTGTACAAAGAATCCCAGTGGACAAACTATAATTGTATACCCCACTTCACTACTCATTTTATTGTGGAAATGGCCAGAACAAATATCAGGCTCTTGTGGTAATCTAGCTCTAGTCCCTGTCACATTCTGTCTTCCTTACGGTCCAAGCCTCAAGTGAGTCTTGGTTTTCTTGGTCAAAAAGGAAGTACAACCTTTCATTCATCTCTGGATTTTATGTTTAACCCTCACTTAAATACCACTCTTCCTGCATCCAACAAAATCTGCTTCAGATCAATGAACACTTTATGAACGTCAGCGAAGATTCAGCATTGTCTCATCTCCTATGGAGGTTGTCATCTGAGGTAGGCTTCCCTAGTCTGGGTCTTTTGAAATAGTCTGGTCATTTCATGGCTTTATGGTTTGGAAAAATATCCACAGAGTTCCATTTGGCAAACCTTACTGTAAGCAGAGAGGCTTTTTCACTTATTCTAGAACTTACTTTATACCTCTCCAAAGGCCTGGTAGTAATGGAGACAGGGTAGGACAGATTTAGACTACACAGCTATAGACAGTATGTGAGTTTCTAATCAAGAAAAATACTTGGCTGAGACAGCAAATTTGCTACTAAGGAAGAAGAGGGAACCCTAAAAAGTTAGAAAGCATTACTAACATTACATTTTTTAGGCAGATAATCCCATCACCAGATGAGATGCTTTTAGTTTTGGAAGTACCTAAAAGACCCCCTTAATAAAAGATGCTGTGACTAAGTGAACTTTTAACTTAAACACTTAGCATTTTACTTTGCAAATTTTTATTTCAAATCCTCTTGGTCCCAAATGGGATAAGTACTGCAAATCCAAAATAATATAGACAGACAGACAGATGATAGGTAGATAGATAGATAGATAGATAGATAGATAGAGATATTGCCTAAAAGGTGAATGTTAGTGTTTCCCATAGCTTTGCTTTTCTAGCTGGGGATTGGGTAAACATATGACGTTTACAAAAGAGCTAGAAATTACTTCTAAAAGAGAAATAATTTCAGCAGTGTTTAATCCATTCATTCAATTCAGTGCCATGGATTCCAAACTATTATTTCAATTTAAGAGCTCAGGCTTGAAATACCATATAGAGAATAGTTCAAACCAACTGTTCCCAAGGGCTGCAGAGTTCAATTCCTCTCTTGTTTCTAGGCAGATTCAGACATCTATGCATCGCTGGGGCATGAACAGAAAGGTTTTCTTTCAGGGATACACAAAAAGAAAAAGCAGTCTCTTTTCATCCTGAATGTTAACCCCCACCACCCTTTCTTAAAAGGACCTTCATATATTTGATGCATTCCTTAATGGAGTATAGAGTGCCACATTAGCAAATTTCTTTATGACAAATGCAAAAAGCAATGAATATGAATATACACATGCATGCTTTGTTAAAAAGAGACCCTTATCCATCTTAAAACTACTTCAGAAATGCAAAGAGTAAAAGTACCTTGAATACTTAGCAAAGTGTAATATACATCATTGCTAAAAAATTTAAAAAATGCAATTTTTCTTACCTCAAGGTCAAATAGAAAATTTTAAGTGTCTCATATTTGTTCTCTTTCTATATTTTAGAGAAAGAGAGAAAGTATGAACAGGGGAGAGGGTCAGAGGGAGGGAGAGAATCTTAAGCAAGCTCCATGCTCAGTGTAGAGCTGGACACAGGGCTTGATCCCATGACTCTGGGATCATGACCTGAGCTGAAATAAAGAGTCAGACACTCAACCAACTAAGCCACTCAGGTGCCCCAGAGTCTCCTATATTTGCAATGGCTGATTTATATCTAATGTTTAGATCTAACATTGTTTCCAACTGAATCACAATATTTAGCAAAGACCCATGAGATATCTTTGACAAAGGTCCACTGAATCTTATGGGTGTCACATAAAGTTACACATAAACATCATTGTTTATCAGAGGTCTACAGTCTTTATTTTTCAAATGCATTGGTGCTACTTTGTAGAGTGCATAGTAATTTGTCAGGTAAAATAAATGGCAAAGACTTGGTGTGATTGAGTGCACATAAGTGGTATTAGTATTTCTAAAAACTTAAGTAAGTTTGCATCATAGAGGCTGGTAGATTCATTATGTGACAGATCTTCCTGCGAGGAAGTAGGGGCCCCAGTACTTCTCCAGATGTCATCATAAAAAAATCATGTGGTTGACATGCCTGTGGTAATTCGGACCTATTTAATCTTTGAGGTACAATCACTTTACTATAGTTTCTGGTTCTGAAAAAAAATCACAGAAATGAAAACTAGGCCTTAAGACATATTCCATTGACATAAAATGGGACTGTCCAGTCAATGACCCCAGACGTTGTCTCTTTGCTGCCCAGAATCTGCACAGCTAAGGAGACAGGCTCATCCTGAACTCAGTCTTCCGGTGCACCTGCCAACCCAGCCTGTGTGCTGGCTCTTCCTAAATGGTGGGCAGGGAAGCCAGGGCCATTTGTGCTTGACCTTTGAGTATTTCTTTCCTCTGTGAAGTGCTCCTCTGATGCTTGTCCAGTAAAGAGGGAAAAGCTAAGGGGACCCAGCCCTGCCTGGAGCAGTATCCCATGGTAGGATCCTTCTCCAGGGGCTGCCCAGATAACAGGGGACTCAAGCATCTGTTGGCTTTGCTGCTCCTGACTTCCAGTCCACATCTAGTGGCCACTGGCCCCTTCACCCTGAGCCGTTTGCTCAACATGTAAAGGCTGGACACATCCTAGACTACCAAAACAATTCATCTGGTTTTTCAGCATGATTTTTAAAAGTCAGTCTGGATAAAGATCTAGACCTATGACATTAAGGAATACTATAATTTTTGATGTAGAAATAATACTTTTTATAAGTGTGTTTTAGGGGTGCCTGGGTGGCTCAATCAATTAAGCATCCAACTTTGGCTCAGGTCATGATCTTACATGGGTTTGAGCCTCGCGTCGGGCTCTGTGCTGACAGCTAGCTCAGAGCCTGGAGCCTGTTTCAGATTCTGTGTCTCCAGCTCTCTCTCTGACCATCTCCTGCTCATGCTGTCTCTCTCTCAGAAAGAAATAAAACATTAAAAAATTTCTAAAAAAATAAGTGTGTTTTAAATGCCCCATTGGAAGTTGTCCTGGATAAAGAGGAAAAATATGATTGCAAGACGATACAATAAAAATTCAACTGATAAACAGTTACCTGGTGTTCTGTCTATCAGGAGTTTCCTCTTACTGGCCTCGTTAATACAACAAATGGCAAAAGATAGAACAGGGTCCTCATGTATGGAAACTGAGGTAGGAAAAACTCTGCAATATTTTTTAGTTAACCTGAGGGGTCTGGTGGAGGGAGGTTAAGTATGGTATTTTTCTTTGTAAATGAAGATTACAAGAATATTATTTACTCTGAAATATAATTCTTTTTCTGAAAATAAATTATATGACTAACACACTTAATAATTTTACAATCAGTATGTATCACTCCAAAAACTATTTCCATGCTGTTACTGCAAATAAACCTAATTAGCTAATAGTGAAGCATCATAGAGGTAATTCAGTTATTCTTTGTGGAACTCTTTGAAGGACAGCTATGGCTTTTGTTTTTCATTTTTGTTTCAATAAAGAGTTGGCATATCAAGCTAAGAATAATCTATAATTGAGCAAGATCTATATGCTCTATTTAATCCCCATCATCTTTTGAGAGGATGAGCAAGAATTGCAGGTGAGTTCTGCCTGATCTATTATTTCTAGTGCATGTTCTTCTTGGAAGACTAAAAGTCCTCATCAATATTCTAGAAGAAACCAAATGGTATTAAATCCGAAGTTTACAACTAGGTGTTTGTGCCAATTACCAAAATAGAAGGAATTAAAATAGACTTTGTTGTCTGTTAGCATACAACCTTTGGCAATATAGGGTTGAAGACCTGAGGCCAATTTCCAGGCCATATGAGATGGATGGTGTCAAGGGTGTAACAGGTCACCCTGTCAGGGAAGGGAATGACAGGGATCCACAACTGACTCTCAGAGTCAAGCAAGTACCAGAAGGTGGGTTAAGACTTGAGTCACAGTGGTTAATGTAAGCTAATGATTAGACATCTAAGTATTTCTGAAATTCTTACATTCACCCATAACTCTCCTCTAATGGTTATTTCATCTTACCTCACAACAATTCTCATCTAGATTTAATTCATCTTTCCACCCCTCAGATTTGGGCTTTTGGATGGAGTTCCTTGGTATAGTATTATGGACTGAACATTTGTGTCCCTCCCGCCCCCAAATTCATATGCTGATACCTAAACCCCAGTGTGATGGCATGAGGAGGTGTGGCCTTTGGGAGGTAATTAGGTCATGAAGTGGAGTCCTCATGAATGGAGATTAGGGCCCTTACAAAAGAGACCCCAGACAGCTTTCTAGCCCCATCAGCCATGTGAGGACACAGAAGAAAGACAGCCCTCTATGAACCAGGAAGTGGGCTCTCATCAGACACCAAACCTTCCAGAAGCTTGATTTTGGACGTTGCAGGCTGCAGAACTGTGAGAAATGAATGCTTGTTGTTTAAGCTGGCCAGTTTGTGGTCATTTTGTTCTAGTGTCCTGCACAGATTAAGACACATAGTCTAAAAGAGAGTTTAGATCCTTGCCCCTGCCTATCTGTGCAAAACTCTGTCTAGAAATATCTTGATGCTTGGCTACTAAGTCTCTCTTCTTTCACATGCTTCAGATGTCACCTTGTCTCTACATTAATCCTAACTCTCTACAGAATAAGGGTCTCCCTCTGGGTGCTGATTAACTTACGCAATACTCTTTTTCAATCACACACCCTCACAATGATTTCTTTCTCATCTCTTGTGGAACCAAATCTGACCCCTACAGTGCATTTAGAAAATTTCAATTCACTCTTGAGTCAAGTAAGTGTGCTTCTCCAGGATTAACCTTAGTACTTCCAAAATCAGCTTTCTGATTTTACAACCACATACTGAAGCCTCTGCAAGTTTAAGACTTCCTAAAATGGGAATGCTTCATTAAAAAAAAAATCTACCCAGCTTTTCTCCTTCATAATAAATACAGTAGCACAGCTATTCAATATCAGGTGGTACTTTTCTTTCTTTTGGAAAATGTCACAAATCTGCAGTATCACATTCTTCTCATGCGTAAGTACTAACTTCTCTGAGTTCCCTGAGTGGAACAGTGGCCCGAGGAAAGAATCAACATGGCAATATTCTGCAAATTTTCATTACTCTATTTCTGTGAAATGGGATGACATGTCATATTACTACCCTGTATTTACAGTCATTATTGTGATCGTCAGGTCTCTGAAATGGAGAAAGCTTACTTAGACTTGAGACACACAGGCAATAAGATTTTCATTATTTAAGAGTATTCTGATATATTCTCTATATGGCAAATATACCAGGAAGATTCTGCCCACATGGGGTATTAAAGAATTTGCCTGTTTCTCTGTAAAATAATCTTCAGAGCAACCCCAGTCTTGTTTAGAGTAAGTACTTGCCAGTGACTTCTTTCCTTCCAAGTAGATTGCTTAGTTATGGACAGCAATAAAATATTAGAATACACATAATAACCTTGTGTGCAGCAATTAGCAACTGTTAACTTTTTAGAGAAATCTACTACAAAATTTGTAAACGTTAAGATGCAGACACAACTTGACATGTACTACAGGTGAAGATCAGAACAAGTTTCCACGTATGCATTTAGGAGAACAGTTGGCTTCTGAGATTTAGCTATATCCCTCACACGTATTTGCTGACCATTCCCAAATGTACCTTCCTCAGATAAGAGCTTTAATGTGAACGCAGATGATACAATTGCTAGATATGCCTGCAATTTTTAACTTGGTACCAAAGTGAGGAATTCACAAGACATGCTGTTGGTGGGCAACTCAATTTAATCTAAGGTTTTTCAGAACACTGATATCTTCGAAACTAACAGCTAAGTCTGCTTTGTGGTCTAACTGTCTGCAACTCAAAGCGTGGCCTGTGGTCCAGCCACACGTGCAACACCCGAGAGGCAGTGGACTGGCTCACAATTTCTGAGTCAGTTTGGAGTGTGGAGTTACACTTATATGATCCATAATTCCTATTTGTAAACATCCCCTTCTTCAAGTCATCCCAGGGTTTTTGAATCAAGGCAAGAAAAAAAAAATCACGCTTGCCAATCCTTTCCAGAAACATTTTCATTTTTCCAAGAGAGGGAATATGACGCTCAAAATATTGGATGTAAATAAGTGATAAAAACTACATGTTTGTTTCAGGGTGTTAGAAAAGAATTTGTGTGGGATTTCCTTAAGGTGAAGAACTGTAAGTTACCAACACCATTATGGGGAGTCAGGTGATGAATCTGATCTTCATGAAGATCAATAATTCTCACTGCTCAGGGCCTCCCCATTCCATAAGGTGCCACTGAGGCTTCAAGAGCTCTGTGCTAGCCAAGAGAAGAACAGCCAGTAACAAGGTGAATACATATGTGCTGCTTGTCCATGCACCTGTCCCTGGAGTCAGGGTATTAACTGAATGCTGCTCGAACAAAGCTGAATCATGAGTGGAATTCAACCTTACCTGAAATTCTTGGAAGCCCTTATATTCCCAAAGGAATTACAAAAAGTAGCACACTCGTGATTGCTTTTAATACCTACCAATCAGAAGAAGGCACTGTTCTTCTTACCTGGCTATATAGTCATATGTCCACATGAACAGAGAAACTACAAGAAGAAAAGTCTGCATAAATCAGCATTTAGACCAACAGAGGCATTTGCCAATTATTGATTTCCTACTCACTCATCAGGAAATATAATTGGTTTCAAAACATCTTTATATCTTCATAGGGGGAATATTTAAAAAAAGGAAAACAATGACAACAACAATAAACTGGATGAATTCTGTAAATGAGATACTAAATTTTACAGTCCCTGTATTATCTCTTCACATGCTTCCTGTGCAGAGCCAGAAAAAAATACTGTCACCAGTTTAGAGAATAGCAATCTTTGTCTATTTCTGAATGAATTTGTGCCAGAATAGTAAGTATTTTGTTTTTGCCTTTGGTGAAAGTGGGATATCAAGTCCAGACAACGGCAGAGGAGGAGGACGTGCACATGAATGTCATTCTGGGTGGTTTAAGTCTCACCAGGATACAGATCATTTTTACAGCCACTACTACAGTCAGGGCTCTGGGACAAGATCATTCAAATTCTTGACATCAACTTTGGAAGCATCTAAAGTAAAAAGCACATGCAGTCTTTCATGCTCATTGCTTGTATTAAGCGATATAAATCAAAATGTTTATTCCTAAGAGATAAGAAAGACCTTGTCATAATGCCCAGCACAGAGTAGCCACTCTATAACCATTTGGTTCTTTTCCTCCTTATTTCTGTTTAACTCAATCAGGCAAAAATATTTCCCTAAAAGAGACACAACAATGTTCAAAAATGCCATTTCAAGGGCCAGGATAAATAAATTTTGCAGAGAAGTTTCAGATGTAGGCTTTTGTTTCCAGAACTAGAGTTAGTGCCAAGGAGTGACTTATGGGACTTGAGTCCCCAATAATCTCCATCATCCCCAGAGCCCCATCAGAATAAATAAACTCTTAAAAATAAAAGCAGTCATCTCGTTGTGAAATCTAGCTTCAAAAGAAGTCCCCTGCCAGCCAGACTGAAACCCTTAAGTTACTTTCACATCAATATTCGGGTGCTGCCATTGTCCAAAATCATTACATAATCAAAGGACCATTTGCGTTTCCTTATATTAGAGGAAGAGAAGCAAAGTCAAGTAGAAAAGATAAATCTTGGGTGTTGGGCAGGCCCGGGTTTAAATACCAGCCCCTTTATTCACTAATGGAAGAGCTTAGGAAAAATACTAAACCTAAATCTGAAATTGCCGACATGTAAAAGTCACTGAGATTACCCAGTGAACCTGGAGACACAAATCGCACTGGGCTGATGTCAGGACCAGGCAAGATGATATCTATTACTGTGCCTGGCAGACCTGAGCACGGAGTGATTACCCAGCACATAGCTCTCTGTGCCTGCACTCTCCTTCCTCCTCCTCTTTTTCCACTGATTCAAAACCACTGACATTACGTGAGATCCTCTGTTAAGGTAGAAAAGAGAAAAATTGGCTGAATTACAAAATCATGGCTATAGTAACAACTAGGACTGTATTTTGAGGAGTGTTAATACATCCCTGAGCAAAGGGATTTTCTATTTTACAAATGATTAAGAAAATTCGGCATCCTGCCTAGAGATCACAGAGTTCTAGGAATGTGTGTTCTCCTCTTTGAATCTCAGTAGGCTACCAGTTCTGGGCAGAGAGTAAACACCTCTGCTTCTGTGCAACTCTCCTTTCTTTATGCTGCACCCCAGCTAAAGAGTGCTCAGGGAAGAATTATGTTGCCCTCTCTGAGTTGCTATAACAACACCGTTGCCAAAATAGCAGGCACTCTGCAGGAGTCAGAATAGCCTCTTACAGATATTATATGACTTCTGCTCCTGGCACATCTTCTCTTGCCTGTTAAGGGGCCTGGCTGGGGCAGACAGGGACCACCGGACTCATAATACTGGCAAAGGAGATGGAGAGAGGTTTTGAAAATTTCTGGGCTTCTCACATACTCAGAATCCCAAAAGCCTGTGCTTCAGATCTTCTGAAGACTCCTCTCGCTGTGTAGGGACAAAAATGATGCCTTGATACTATTTGGAGAACTATGCGTTGTCTGTTTCATGAAGTTGAGTTCTTTTCCTAAATAACCAACTTCAGGGCAGTACAAAGAATGCTGTTTGGTTCTTAAAAAGTAGGAACTGGTCACCGAGGAGAAAATAGGAACTAAAACTTCAGTTTGAGAGAGCATACACAAACAGACAATAGGCAGACCACGGATAACAGTAGAACTCTTACCCCCAACCTCTACAGCAACCAACCCAGGGAAACAACCTCAGCCACAACGAGCCTGGAATGATTAGGACCTGATGAATAATTGACAGCTTTCCTATTTTTTGTCCCTAGGTCTAACTCAGTTAAAACCAAATATACTCCCCAAATCGATCACATGAGATGCTCTGCTTCTAATTAACCCACCTCCAGCTTCTCCGTGCCAACTTCCAATCCTGAGCATACCTGAAGCCTTCCCTTTTTTTAAGTGAGAGACTTTCCCACTCCCCTGCCTGCTTTTGAGTCTCTGCCAAAGTGAAGTGAGGGAAGCTGACTCTTGCTACAGCAAACTGAATCAATAGCCTCCATGCTTGTTTGGGTGGGTTTTGCTTATTTCCATAAGATTGAGCTCTTTGTTTTTGTTAGATCTGGAGAACTAACAGGATCATATTTTGTGATTTGCAATGCTAAGGACAATGGAAAGTTAAACAGTGTAATACTACCCTTGAGGCCTCTGGGCAACCCTACAGACTGCCTAAAATGTGCCCTCAGCAAACTTCCATACTCATCCAACACAACTCCAGCTTTCCTCATTGCACTCCATAACTCTCACCATAAGAAAGAATTGCTTACAGTCACCGAGTGACCGACCATTCCAGTTTGCCCGGAACTGCCTTTTTATTTTTTATTTATTTATTTTTTTAGCACTGAAAGTGCTTTGCCCTAGGAAACCCCTTAGCCCCAGGTAAAATGGAAAAGTTGGTCACTCTATGAGACTCTTCAAGGATGCCCTACTGTTTTAAGACTTAGCCACTGAAGATGCAAATCACTGTCAGGGATCTCCTTTCTTACTGCACACAGGATATCAACCTGGTGAACTCCTCTCAACCTGCGAAGCCCCTGCCTAAATGCCATCTCCCAGGCTAAGCCTCTTTGACAGTGGCCCATCCCCAAATCCCAAGCAGGCGATCTCTCCCCCCTGCATGCCATGCTATAGCCTGTATATATTCTCGTACATATCACATAGTGAAAAGATGATTTGGTTACACAGTGACTTCCTTGAAGGCAGGTGCTGTATCATGTTCCTCTTTGTGTTTTCTCATGGTCATCACCACATAAAGCCAATATTTGTCTGTTTCTTGAGCAAATGAATTCATCAGTGACTAAATGACTTAGCTATGATGTATTTACTTATTTAATATAGTTATAATTATTATTGAATTACTGAATATAAACTAATTATTTGTTGATGAGTTACACTGATCCTTACAAAAAGTCCAGAAGCTCTAGACTGAGCTGTAGGGCCCGTCTATACATAGGCAGGGGTTGAGTGCCTTACAGGAAATACATGCATCAATCCATTTCAGTTACCCAGGTTATTTGCCTACCTCAATCTGGGTGGCATTGTCCTGTCCATCATCCAGTAGCAGGTCCGTGAAGCCTCTGGGCTCTGGAGAGTCTTGGCCCATGCTTGCTCGGTTCGAGTCTACTGCCTTGAGAGAATCCACGCTCCTTTTCCCCCGGTGACTGAATGCATGCGTGTCCACTTCAACTTCCTTTTCTGTTTGGGGGAAGACCTGAGCGACTTGATATTGCCAATCTGTTTGAACAAGAAATAAAATGATGAGTTGCCACTTGCTCTGAGTCATACACATGTCAGCTAACAGAGCAGAAGAATAATTCTGCTAGTCATGAAAATAGGAAACGAACTCATAACAGCAGAATCTGTTTAACTGTAATATTTTGAGTTGGTATGAACATCTCTGTGTAGAAGACAATTTTAAAACATATCATAAGTCGTGACAATGGTTAATGTACAGATCCAGCAGAACTCCCAAAACAGATGTGCAGCCCTAAAGCAATGCATTTTATCCCCTTCCCTCCCCGCCCTCTGCACACACACACTTCATAAATATTCTCTATTTGTTTTGAGAAAATAAGCTACAATCCAAACAAAGGAATGAAACCTAGTGATTCTTAGTACACTTGAAAATAAAAATCAGATGTTATTAGCTTGTGGGTTTATATTCCCTTCACACAAGTTTTGCCGGGCAGCAAGGAGCCAACAATGTATTTGAATTGGTTAAATAATATATGGAATGATCTTTGTGTAAATGTGCTAACCTGCTTTGTTGCTCACAAGTCAGATCTGGTTCATTGCCCACCTCACTTAATAAGCAACACCCTCAGGAGGCATCACAAAGGCTCTTGTTCATTTGTGCTGTTCTCACCTTGGACTCTTGTCAGGGTGGTGAAGGATGACAGTGATAGGCACTTAGAGAAATGGATGGGAAGGCAAAGAGACCAAATCACAAAGGTATTTTAAAGCCATCTGCAGGGACTGGCCTTGCTGACCCAGCTCATCCTGCTACTACAGGATGGAAAATAAGATTTAATCATGACTCCTAGTCTTTCATTTCAGTAGGTCAGCAGGGGAAGGTGTATCATAAGTAAGGGAAATTCGGTCTCTGACCAAGAAGAACAGGCTTCTTCTATACAACTATTACCCAAAGATATGAATTGACAGGCTTTATAGCTGGCAGGATACAGGTTCAAAAAGGGCTAAGAGAGCAGTGATTTAATTACAGCTGTGATGTTGCCCTCAATATGAGAACATTCCAAGAAACCAAAATGTATTTAATGTGACTTATTATACTGTTGTATCAGCTGCTTAGAACTCTAATAACTAAGTTAAGATTACCACTACTGACCACACACAAATGGTCTAAAACATTTCCTTGTCAACTCAGAGAGGTGCTAATAATTCTTCTAGACAGAAAGGATATTCTTTGGTTTCACCGTGAACGTAAAGGGTCTCCCACTGCTTAATGCTTTGGCAGATACAGCCCAGAGAGAAATACCACCATATTACCACCATACTGTTGGTGATCTAGACTTTTCCATGGGCTCCTGAAATATGAGCTTAAAAGAACTGTGAAGAAAGAAGTGGCCAAAAGCTCCATAAAGAAGAACCCAAGAGCTAGAAAGATGTAGCACATGCACAATTCATAGAATTGGTATAAGGCTGAAAACTCTTAGGTACACAAAGCGTCGATCATGGGTGCCCCCGTGACTCATATTAAATGTTCAAGAACTATGGCTAATGAGTACTGTCATCATCACCATATAAAAGGTTTCTTTTTTAACACTGTTGTCCCACTGGCCATTGAACGGTGCTCAATAAAGATGTTTGTTGACTGACTGATGGATGGATAAATGAGTTGTTGACAGTCTTTTTGAAACAAAAATGACTGGACCAGACAGAATTGAGTAATGGAAGGAATATTGTACAAGAATTCAAAAGAGCTGGGGTGGAACTCTTTTGCTGGGTATGGGGTCCAGCATAATTTACAGAACTTTGTGCTCTGGTTACCCTAGATTTTAAATGGGAACGAAAATACCTTACCTGCAAAGGCAGACAGCTTTTCCTGACGATGTGTCAGGCTCGAAGACCTATGATTCTAGGCAAAGCTACATAAAGTAATTTTATGTGCTTTATTTATATATCCTGCCTCATTACCAAAAATATATGAGGCAGCTTACAACAAAACTAAGCAATAAAGTTTTACAACAACCAGATAAGACCTGCTGGCCCAACACTTAGGTTAACTTTAGAGAGGGTGAATATCTGAATACAAATAATCACATCAGAACAACTGAAAATCTATACGGGATCCTTGTTACAATGTTAATCTAGATAAGAAATGTAGCAAATATAAGGCAGTTAATGGATTAAACGCTTCTGGATATAAAAATGGCTTTAAAACAAATCACACAATCCTCCTATACGTGCAAACATATGATATTTGTCCTTCTCTGCCTGACTTATTTCGCTCAGCATAACACCCTCAAGGTCCATCCATATGTTTGCACGTATAGGAGGATTAGGAGGAACTTGACGGAGGAACAAGGGGTAGAAGAAGGGGGGAAATGGTGGGGGAAAGGGAGAGAGGCAAACCATGAGAGACTCTTGAATGCTGACAAAAACTGAGGACTGATGGATGTAGGGGGGAGGGGGGGATGGGCATGGAGGAGGTCACTTGTGGGGATGAGCACTGAGTGTTATGTGGAAACTAATTTGACAATAAACTATTTGTAAAAAAAAATAAAATAAAATAAAATAAAATAAAAATATTTTTCTCATTAAAAAAAATAAAAAAATAAATCACACAAAGGGAAGAGCTCCAAGCAGAGGTGTTTAGTCCTCTAAAATGTAAATCAGGGAGTCTACCTAAAACTTCAAAGAATTCATCTTTATTAAAATCTTCAAAACAGAATTTCAAAACCACTCTTGGTTTCTTGGAAATGGGTGCTATTGCTGGATATTAATTGCCTGATAGTAATGTTGTCACTACCTTTCCAGAGATTTATAACACAAGACAAAATAAAGAACTTCCCATGACGCCTGGAGGCCAGAGACGTCACCCTCCCCACTGCGATCCAAGCACAGGGCAGTGAGAGACGAAATAACTAACCTTGGAGGGGCTGTCTGCCTGGAAAGTCTATTTCTCAACTTCCTTGAGCCCCTCTCTTATTTTTCCCTACCTTCTTACCCTAGAAAACAAACGAAAAGGAGCCTCAAAACTGAGGAGCCATAAAACCCATATTGTCCACTGTTAAACTGACTAAAAGAAAGAGATCGCTAGTTCTGCTACCTTAGCGGCCTTCCCAAGCAAGCCAATACCTAAGCCTGTAAGTGACTCCAGGAAAAAAAAATCAACACCTAGGGACAACCAGGCTCACACAGCCTCCTAGGCTTGTCAGAGTCAGGTAAACGCTTAAGCCAATCAAACAGTTTTCTCGCTTTGTGTCTGCCTTTTTTCCTATAAAAGTCTGTCCCCTCTCCTGTCCTTAGAGTGTTCCCAATCATGTCTGGCTCAGTGCTGCCAGACTAGAATTCATCTTTGCCCAGGTCAACTCTTGACATTTTTAATATACCTCAGTTTATCTTTTAACACCACTTAAGTTGAAGTTTGGCATGTTTGATTAATCTGTCAAATTCTTTTCATAGTGTTTTCATAGTTTCATAAGTAATGCTTTGGCAGGGTTACTGGGGAAGCTAAATTTAACGGACAAGGAGGCCTCCTGTATAAGACAAACATACAAGCTTACTCTAGTACTTACAAAGTCAGTCCCTAGACAGCGGTGGGGTTTTGGTGGGGGGTCCCCCCGACAATTGTTGTCAGTGTTTTATAATTTTTATTCTCTTGCTTCATGGTCACATTAACAGCTATGACAGCGGTGCATTGGTTTGCGTCCCGCATGGACATGCTTGCTCCTAGAATTTGCTACCTTAAACTTTGTAAACCTATCACTTGATCACTTGCTAGTTCTCATATTTAAAAAGACTAAACAGGATCTAAGGAAGGCACTGGGAGGTTTTTAAATAAGAACAACTCTGAGCATTAGGGCTTGGCTTCTCTGACTTTTCTTTTGGTTGTTATTTTAGTTGTAATTCTTTTTCTCTGATGATGTTATGAATACTAAGAGGAAACATTCCTAAGTGCTCCTAATTCAGTACCACATGGTTCATCATGATAGGAGTATGAAATTGGCTTAGATTTTGATCCCATTTCAGAATGAGTTTTAGACAAGATAAAACAAGTCAAGAATGAATGTTTTACAGAAACAAAGACCGAGAAAAATTGGCAAGACCACAGCATGGCCATCGACACTGTAAATTATTCCTATGCAATTCATGTGATTTCAGACTCATAAAAATATTTTAAATTATTCTTTAAATCGCCACCAAAGCGAATCGTTCAGAAGCAAGCTAAAGGGATATGTTTATGGGATATAATAATATCTCATATTATTAAAGGGATATGTAATATGATTCTTCTCTTCCCAGCTGTAGTGAAAATAGAAGCAACACGAGGGATCTTTGAGTAGTGTGGCTCAACAGAATGTTTCCTTTCTGCCCACTGTATGTTCATTAACCCACTGATGGAAAACTTTCAAAGATAAATTTCTCCAACATATTTTGCTATAGTTGTTAATCACATGGCTCATGGAAATATTAAATAGATCTAAAGACTCTCTTTCGGATATGAGAGAAAGCTTAAAGATGTATTTCTACATATATATTATGTATAATACATAAATTAATCTTAACACATTCTTGAGATATTTTATTCAATTAAAACAGCAGGTAAGCTATCACTGAAGAAGTGACTTCATTACATTCCAAATTAACATTATTTTGAAAGCCAAAAATGTCTAGTTAATCTGAGAGTAAAGACAAGAAACTCATGTGTGTCACCCTATTGTTGTTTGCAAACCTGGAAAGTCTCTTTTGTGCCATCATATACTGTAAAATAATTTAAAATAAAATTCAAAAACAGTAAGAAAACTGTGCTGGGATGGATATGTTTATATTTATCTCTTACTTAAATGATTTTATTAGGATAGCTTACATTTAACTAATAGTTATATGTTGAAAACATCCTTAACCATATGTCACATGTCTTGCATACAGATCATATACACAAAGCATGTCAAACCATCAAGAAGTAACTACCTAAACTGACATGCATCTTATGTAACTGGGGTCCATCTGTGCCTTTTGATAAGCATTTTGATCTACACTTTACAAGGGAA